GGAGATGAGCACCGCCCCCTAGAGTCGGGAACGACTAGCACTTAGGTGCGAGGGGAACCTTTACCTTTAGGATGATAAGTAAAGAGGAAATGCAGCTTTTAGGCCTTTTACCCACCCAATTCCACTTCATTTATTTTTAGGACTGCAATGGTTGAACGACGATGTATATCCATCATGCCTCTTTTTTTTGTTTTTTCCTTCCTCCCCGTAGCCTGTGCCAGAAGTTAAAATTGTCTCCAATCTCCCAGCAATCACCATGGAAGAGGTGGCTCCAGTACATGTCAGCGATGCTGCCCTTCTGGCACCTGAAGAAGTCAAGGTGTGGCATTAAGGTTTCTTGCTCTCCGCCACTAGCTGATCCCATCCTTGGGAATCTGGTTCCATGCCAGGCTGGGGTGAAGTCCAGGGAGGGAGCTCATGCAGTTGGTTTGATCCACACACCCTCCGAGGTTCTTCTGCTCTGCCTAAAGGGAAACGATGTCATTTCAGTGGGTTTTGGGAGCCGGTGGGGGGATCATTCCAGCAAACGGCTCCAAAGGGAAAGCAAAATCTCTTGTGTTGTTGTGTTGTGGACATGTTAGTGGCGGGCCTGGGTTGGGTGTCCCGGAGATTTCTTTTTCCTTTTTTTAAATAGCATTTATTGAATTTTCCAACATTTAAAGGACAAAACACAAATTTACACTAGTAACAGCCTTTCCATATCGGTATCAATATCTCTCTCAACAATCCTATTTACAAACATTATATTTCCATTTCACTATCCTAAATTATATCCTTATTTAGGTCAGAATAGCTTCAAGTTCAATATCATCTATTCCCTATACCTTCTACATTCTATATATTATACTTCAACATTTTACACCCTAAGTTTTTACGTTTACTCTCAAGCCAGGAATACCATCTATTCCAGATTTGATAGTACTCCGTTTCCTCCCTCGCCTTCATTTCCATAGACAGCCTATCCATTTCTGCACCTTCATAAATTTTTCTTTTTTCCCCCTCTTTTAAAAATTTTTATTTTCCATTTTCATAACATATAATCACATGTATACTATTAGATAGCCAATATCTTATTGAATTAAGTAGTAATTACATCAGTTCCTCTTGTCATCAACGCCCAGAAAGATAAAAACCCATTATCCATCTCATAAATTTTTCTTTTTTCCCCCTCTTTTAAAAATTTTTATTTTCCATTTTCATAACATATAATCACATGTATACTATTAGATAGCCAATATCTTATTGAATTAAGTAGTAATTACATCAGTTCCTCTTGTCATCAACGCCCAGAAAGATAAAAACCCATTATCCATCTCATAAATTTTTCTTCTTTAATTGGGTCTGGGGGAGTATCTGTTTGTTTCCAATTCTGTGCTAACACAATTCTACTTGCAGTTAGAATATGTAGTGTTATGTATTGCAGTTTTCCCCCGCACATTTTCCCATCAAAAATACCCAGGAGAAACAGTTTCAACTCTATCCTCTATTCAGTTATCTCTTCCAGCCACTTTCTTATCTTAAGCCAATATTTTCTGATCTTAGGGGCAGTTCCACCACATGTGGTCGAATGTTCCCTGCT